GTGTGTGTGTGTGAGAGAGAGAGAGAGAGAAATGCGCGCGTCTCGGATTTGTGTCGTCGCCTCCCACTGCCCGGTACCCAGCCCGACTTCCATCCTCATCCCGACTTCCCTCTTTTGATCCCGACTCCCCTCTTCCCGACTTCCATCCCCCTCTCTCTTTCAACCGCCCATGGCTGTCTTGTCTCTCTCTCTCTCTCTCTCTCTCTCTCTCTCTCTTGTATTTGCCTCTCCGTGTCTGTGCGTGTGTGCCTTCTCTTCTCTCTCTCTCTCTCTCTCTCTCTCTCTCTCTCTCTCTCTCTCTCTCTCTCTCTCTCTCTCTCTCTCTCTCTGTGTGTGTGTCTCAACCGCCCATCGCCATCTCGTGAAGCATGGCCATCTCGCGCCATTATTCGTTGGCGCACGGCGTGCCGGGGGTGACAGTCTGACGACAGAGTGTGGAGTGTGCACCGAATGATCAGGGAGAGAGAGAGAGAGAGAGAGAGAGAGAGAGAGAGAGAGAGAGAGACCGAATCATGAGACAGAGAGAGGGAGAGAGGACAAACAGAGGGCAGGTAACATGCTATTAACACAGAGAGAGAGAGAGAGAGAGAGAGAGAGAGAGAGAGAGAGAGAGAGAGAGAGAGAGAGAGAGAGAGAGAGAGAGAGAAAGAGAGAGAGAGGACAACGCACCTCGATCAGTCATCGCCACTGACTTCGCCCACCCTGCTTTGCCCCGCTTCGAATTTCCGCGTCGCCCCTCCGCCCCTTCGCCTAGGCCTGCGCGCCTTCGAATTCCCGCTGCCCAGTTCCCACCCCTTCGCCTCGGCCTCGCGTCGGCCTTGCCCCGCGTCGTCCTGTCGCCACGTCGGCCTGCCCCCCCGCCTCGGTTTTGTGTCCCAGGCGATTTCTGTTGGGCCCGCGACCAAGCGTGATGCTGCCCGGTTCCCGCCCCTTCGCGTCGGCCTCGCATCAGCCTGCCCCCGCGTCAGCCTGCCCCCCCTCCTCGGTTTTGTGTCCCAGGCAATTTCTGTTGGGCCCGCGACCAAGCGTGACGCTAGACCCTTTGCTTGCTTTAGTTGTATAGAGATTATTGTTAATTTGTTATAATAACTTACTATTATTTTGCTTGGAAGTTTTGGTTTTTCTCCTTAAACCACTAGTACCTTTGTCGTTTTGGAAAATAGCGGGCCACCGACCTTTCAGGAGGCCGAAATGAAACGACGGCCGCTGATTAGATTTATCAATGGCAGCCGTCGTTGGGCCCGGCCTCCGAATTCTTCAGGAGCTGGCGTTTTCCCTCATTTCTGAAGCGGCAAAGGTACTAGAGTAAATACCTTAGGCGTTTAGCATCCCGGGATTCGCTCTTCTGTTGTTCTGGGACTCGTGCTATTTTGTTCGTATAGCGGCGGGTTTCATCTCTCCATTGCGCCTGGATTACTTCTCTCCACAAGTCCAAGCGATCTCTGCGGTCAGCTTTGGAAATGATAAAGTTGTGGAAGATGATGATTTGCAGGGTGTGCTATTCTCTCCTCAATGATTTACGGGGCATGCTATTCTCTGCACGATGATTTGCCGTGCGTGCTATTCTCTGCAAAATGATGCTGCCATTTACTGCTAGAAGGTCTAGAATGTAGCAGGTAGATACTGTTTTTTTCTGCTTGTTTTTCTGTCTTTTTATCTTCAGGACAGGGGGCAATTAGGCTTTATGTATTGTGGGAATAGAAATTTGGGACTCCCAAAGGACATTTGGGACTCCCAAAGGACATTTGGGCGGCAGCGGCGTACACCCCGTCGTTGGGGTTATCTAATTTGGATAGGAGTTAAAGAAAACAGAAAAAAGTAAGAAATATATGTATGGGCGCTCCAGTGAATACATTGTTCTTTGCGGTGAGCGTTCTTCCTTCATTTTAGCTCTTGAGCCTTTTCTTATCCTCTCCTTTGCCTTCATCTTGGTTCCACACTCCACGCTTTCCCTCACTTTCCCTTTGCCGTTCTTTGTTTGTCTTCTCTCCGTCTGTCTTCCCTGTGTGTATCCCCTCCGCCTATTTCTCACAGCATACGAGTGGGCCCATTATGGCACATGCCACACGGGCATTCAGGCAGCTGCGCTCAACTTCATTGACGTGGCGAGCCTGGTTCGTGAGAGGGACGGTGAAGAGGGAGTTAAAAGAAGAATGGGAAAAATGAATGGTTCCAGTGTGCCCGTCATGTTTGTCTTGTTTTTCTTAACTTCACTGTTTGTCTTGCAATGTGCGCTCTTTTTTTTTAATCTCTTTTTATATTTGGAGAAAAGTGCGCTCTTCTAATTCATAGATATGTGCCCGTCATGTTTGTCTTGTGTTCCTTAATTGTACCGTTTGTTAAACTTGTTTTGCAAAGTGCACACTTTTTTTTTTCTCTCTTTTTGTATTTGGAGAAAAGTGTGCTCTTTTAATTCATAGATATGTGACAATATAACCAAGTTGCTATCTCCGTTGGTACACTCCTGAACTGTTGAAATACAGACTCAAGTTCGAATCCAGATACCTTCAGATGAAGAGAACAAAATCATTCCGAATTGCCTTGGGCCGGTCAGTTTAACTATCATATCCTAAAGGCCGTCGCCCTTTTAGAAAAAAAAGATATGTGACAATATTGTTAAAGAAAAAGGGAAAGGGAGAAGGGCAAGATCGCTGCAAATCTAGCCACACATACTCTTTCGAAATGGATGCACCTAGACGTGCAAAGCACCGACAGGCTAATCATCGGCACTGAGAAGTCTTATCAACTGGTAGGCAATACTCACACGAGGACTTTCCAGCATGTGTCTGATCGTTTTTTCGGCTAAGTCTGCATGCATGCATCAAGACCGCAATTACGTCCAGATACATGTCGATAAACGTCCTCTACAGTCTTCCCCCAAATACAACATACGGTCATTATAGCTGAATTTAGACTGAAAGATACACCAAATTCAGCTATATTGACCGTGCGTTGTATTCGGGGGAAGACTGTACTGTGAGTATGCCCTGGTGTAGGTGGCATTCTTGAAATTTCTCTTTTTGGCAGTGGCAATCTTGTCCTCCTGTTCAAGAGTGGTTCAAAAACGATTGGAATAAGTGTTTGAATCTGGACGTGTTTGTGGAGAGGTGCAAAAAGCTGTAATTCTCCTGCTTTTCTGCATCGCTTCCTGGAACATGTCCTGATTCAGATGCTTATTCCCCCCAAATCCTCTTTGCCAGTGGGATCTGGCCCTTAGAGTGAGTATATGCCCTGGTGTACGTGGCTTTCGTGGACCTTCTCTTTTTTGCAGTGTCAATCTTGTCCTTTTTTTTTTTTCTTTCTTCTTTTTTTCAAAGCCCTTGTCCTCCCGTTCGAGAGAGTGGTCCATCTGTCAGAATTTCTCCCTGCAAAGTGGATGCACCCAGTCACAGACCCCTGCACTGGGACAGACCACTACCTCGCAGATGCATCTGGACAGGGGTGGTAAGTAGATTTCCAAGCGAAACCAGAGTCAGGGCTAACACTGGTGGGGGCGTTTTCAAAAAAAAAAAGAAAAAAAGAAAAAAAAGGCTTAAGTGGCTTGAAGGTACAAATCCATCTACTCCTCACAAGAAATGGTAATTGTTCTGAGTGGTAGACTCTGAGGTAGGACTCAGGGAGTGGGGGCTGCACCGGAGAGAATTGATGAAAGAGGGTGGGTGGGGTCTTGTGAGCAGGAAAATGTAATTGTAAAAAAAAAGGGAATAAAGTCAGCTATCTTCTAGATAAAAGGCAGGGTTAGTATAGCTGTATCTGGCCTGGAAATTGGCGTCCCTACATTTAGGGGAGCATGACTGCCTGGCATCCTTTTTTTTCTGTTATCTTTTCTCTAGGCATGTATGAGTGCAAGGGGCCACCAAATTTATTTCCTCAGATCCTGTCACCTGTCTTTCCAATGTGCAAATAAAGAAGGAAACTCATGAATATGGACTTCTCAGGCATACGCACACTAGGACTTTTTTACTTATTTCTGGAGATAATTGTAGTCCGATACAAGGTGGCCTGGCGGAAATGCGATCAGATACATAAGATAGAGCTAGTGTGAGTACGCCCGTCTTTGACTAACCTGGGGAGGCGAGCTTTTCTTTGCTTCTACTTAGTGAACAGCACTTGGCGGCTCTCCATTGGGAGAGGTAACCAGCCGAGGTAGATGGATCCAACCTATTTGTGGCGTGCATCATCTGCTGGAAACTGGGTCCATCATCCCATCAGGTATTGGAATATAAATCCGCCTAATACATGCAGCACAGCATTGATTGCCCTGCCCACTGGCGGGAGATTGGTTATCTCTTCTCTTCTCTTCTCTTCTTTTCTCTTCTCTTATCCCTATACTCTTAAAGAATGCAAAGGGCCCAGCGTGACGCTTCCCGCTGGGCCCAGCGAAATTCGGTGCGGGTGGGGGGGGGACTGCGGCAAGGGAATTCGGCGGCGTTTCGTGGGCGGCCATTGGGTGGCGGGGCTGGAGCGTGTGCGTGGACTGTGCGTTTGTTCTTTTTTTGAGCGCGAGTGCGGCGTGCGCATCGCGTGGGCCTGTGGGGAGTGTGGTGCGTGGACAGTGGATTTTTGGTTTTTTTTTTTAGCGCGGGGGGAGAGGAGGTTATCGGAGCGTTCGTTGCTTCGCATCCATGGTGGGGACAGGTCGGGGTGTACATCGCGTGGGGCTGTGGGGAGTGCAGTGCGTGGGTGGTGGCGCGGCAGCGGGGTGGCAGCGGGGTGCGGACTGCGAGAGTGCTGTGCATGGACTGTGGCGCTGGCTATGGCGGGATCTTTGTCACGTTGTTTGGCGGAGGAGGAGCGGGAGGAGGAGCAGGAGGAGGAGAGGGAGGAGGAGCGGGAGGAGCGGGAGGAGGGATGGGAAAAGGAGCGGGAAAAGGAGGAGCGGGAGCAGGTGCGGGAGAAAGAGCGGGAGGGGAAATGGGAAGGGGCGCAGGAGCCGCGGGAGGAGGAGCTGGAGAAGGAGGAGCGGCAGGGGAAACGGGGAGGGGGTTAGGAGCGGAAGAAGGAGCACGAGGAGAAACGGGAAGGGGCGGAGGAGGCGAGGGAGGAGGGGCGGTAGAAGGAGCGGGAGGAGGAGCGGGAGAGAAAATGGGGAGAGAGAGAGAGAGAGAGAGAGAGAGAGAGAGAGAGAGAGAGAGAGAGAGAGAGAGAGAGAGAGAGAGAGTTTTCCATCGACACACCGGCGAACGGGTAAGTCTCCAACCCCTCGGCTGGCCACACGCTACTTGCATTAATAGGATCAGCAAAATCAATCCGCTAGGACATGGAAATATAGCTACTACACGTGTGTGTGTGTGTGTGTGTGTGTGTGTGTGTGTGTGTGTGTGTGTGTGTG